TTCAAAAAAAAAGTGTCCTGAGACAAGAGATTCAAATATTTTTAAATGAAAATGAACTAAGAACATTCCAGCTTTCCTAAAACCTAGCCAACACTGTCCCCTTCTTGGACTCCCTGATTCCATATGTAATGCATTTTGAATTTGTTCCACTGCTTTAGAGCTAAATAAATATGCCCAGAGCTGCAATCATGGATTAATAGAATTAAACTAAAAAATCACAATCAGGAAACATATTGAAAAAATGGGTGGGTTGTACCAATGTACCCAGAGGCTAACACTCCCCCCTCACTTTTTAAGATTATTTTAATACAGAAATAAATAAAGAGGGAACTAGAATGCTACAAAACAAAGCATTGATTTGGCTGTTTTGGATGGACCATACAGGTAGTCCTTGACTTATAACCATTCGTTTAGTGACTGTTCAAATTTACAGCAACCCTGAAAAAAGTGACTTATGATAGATTTTCACACTTATGACCGTTGCAGCCTCCCCGTGGTCACATGGTCAAAATTTGGACGCTTGGCAGCTGACTCATAGTTATGACGGTTGCAGTGTCCCAGGGTCACGTGACCCCCTTTTGTGACCTTCTGACAAGCAAAGCCAATGGGGGAAGCCAGATCCACTTAACAACCAGAACGTTGCAATGCTTTGCAACCCGTTGCAGCATCCCAAGTCACATGATTACCATCCAGATGCTCCACCATCGGCTTCCTACAGAGTTAATAGAAAATGTGGAAATAAAATGGCAAGACATAGTCGTGTGTTATCTCGTTTATTGACCAAAGGGGAAGTGGTTTCATAAGCCTGTTGAGGGATCATGTGATCTTCTGCTTAGTTGACTGCAGCGTTTACTGATGGAGCTGCCAGTCTCGATTGTGGTTGCTAAATGAAGATTACTTGTATTCCAAAAGACTCTGGGATTCAAAAGAACTTGAGATGGAAATAGTTACATCCCATTGATTTCAGTGTCGTTGTTGTTAGTTGCAAAGTCGTGTCTGACCCATCGCGACCCCATGGATAACGTTCCTCCAGGCTTTCCTGTCCTCTACCATCTTCTAATGTCCATTTAAGCTCACGCCTACTGCTTCAGTGACTCCATCCAGCCACCTCATTCTCTGTCGTCCCCTTCTTCTCTTGCCCTCAATCTTTCCCAGCATTAGGCTCTTCTCCAGTGAGTCCTTCCTTCTCATTAGGTGGCCAAAGTATTTGAGTTTCAACTTCAGGATCTGGCCTTCTAAAGAGCAGTCGGGGTTGATCTCCTCTAGGACTGACCGGTTTGATCGCCTGGCAGTCCAGGGGACTCGCAGGAGTCTTCTCCAGCACCAGAGTTCAAAGGCCTCAATTCTTTTGCGCTCAGTCTTTCTTATGGTCCAACTTTCACAGCCATACATTGCAACTGGGAAAACCATGGCCTTGACTATACGTACTTTTGTTGGCAGGGTGATGTCTTTGCTTTTTAGTATGCTGTCTAGATTTTCCATCAGTGTCATTGGTTCACCCCAAATAGCCAAAATCTCTTTGAAATCAATGGAACCAGTTAGCTGCAAGAAATCTCCAACTCCTGTTACGATTAGTGGGATGTACAAGTTGTCCTCAGTTTATAACCATTTGTTTAGTGACTGTTTGAAGTTACCACGGCACTGAAAAAAGTTACTTATGACCTTTTTTTTCACAGTTGCAGCCGTTGAAGCATCCCTGGGGTCACGTGATCAAAATTTGGGATGCTTGGGAACTGGCATGTATTTATGATGGTTGCAGTGTCCCGGGATCATGTCATCACCTTTTGTGACCTGACTAGCGAAGTCAATGGGAAAGCCAGATTCGCTTAACAACCCTCTTACTAACTTAACAACTGCAGAGATTGACTTAACAACTGTGGCAAGAAAGGTTGTAAAATGGGACAAAACTCAATTCAGTGTCTCGCTTAGCCACAGAATCTTTGGGCTCAAATGTCGTAAATCAAGGACTACCTGTAATTAATTTTCCTTTCATCAATCTAGCATTCATTCCCTTTTCTCTCCTGCTCAGATGGACGGGATGTTTAAAAGTGTACCCAGAAGTAGTAATATTTCAAATAAATCCATTAAAATCAAAGAGGGCTAACTGTTCCTGGTCTAAAACATCTGGTTATAACCACTGTAATTTTTTATAGTAGTGCCAAGGGAAATGCCCATTTTTAAAAATACAATTTATAGCTATTGTGTGTGCTTTTCTTTCAGTTCCTGGATTAACCGGTGTCCTTATGGTGCTAGTCTTGTTCCTAATGTCTACTGCATCCACTTATGCCATTAGGTGAGATTCAATCTGACCACAATATCAAGCCTTGGTTTAACTCTTCAGGGGTTTGGTTCAAACATGGGAAAAAACAGCGTTTCCCTTTCTTGGCCCCTTGAGCATGTGTGGACTTCAACTCCCAGAATGCTTAGCCACACACATCTTCTAATAGCCAAGGTTGGGAAACTCTGAGGTAAAATATTGCCTATGCAAATATTGCCTGACAAGGATGAGGAAAAAAGATGTGAAAAGAAGCAAACAAAAGGAAAACAATACAACAGTGGCCTGATTGAGGTGGCAGCTGTGTGCGGGGGGGGGGGGGAATGGGATAGTTTCACATGTATTTGTACACTGCTTTCACAAATGCAGGGTTGTGTGCATGTGCGTGCGTGCGCACGCCACTTCAGCAGCTCAGTTCCGAACAGACTGCAGCCTCGCACTGGATTCCTGACCGGGAGTTTGGGACCCCTGCAATTCAATACAGACATTACAACAACAGATTGTTAAAAGAGTGCCTTGAACTTTAGCTTTGCTGTTGTTTAACCTGTTGACTATTTTTTATTTCTTTTTTTTTTAAAAAAAAGTTTATTGATTTTCTAGTTTTACATTTAAATATTTAAAAAGCAACGTGGCGGCTGAGTTCATTGATAATTCAATAACATACAAATACCTTTAGTACAAGTCTCAAACTATTACATTAAATATTTCCTCTCTTCTCCCCTTAGTGTTTACTGTCTCAGGTTTCAACTAATACAATTCTTATTATATCAATTAAATAAAAATAACTTTCTTACATTTATCAATAATTTTTAGTTTATACATATCCTAGTTATTTTAACATTCAATCTTGATAGACTATCAACGTCCTAATTGGTTTTTCCCAATTTTTAGTTTCCCATTAATATTTAAATTTAACATTTAATGTTTATAATTTCCAAGTTTTAAATAACCACAGTTCCCTTTATCCCAATTCATCACAAAATCTAATGTTCAGGATACACGTCTTATCTATTTGAATATATTCTATTTCTCATCATCTTACATCAACTAATTAATTAACCTGCTGACTATTTTTTATTTCATATATGCAATATATTACAGGTCATTTGGGTTGGAAATAGATGAAGAAGCTTGCAAATTTTGGACCTGCTTCGCAAGGAGGAAAGCTGTTATTGTTGCAATAGATTTGTCAGTGTTCAACTGGGGGGCGGGAATAGTGTGTGTTTTTGTCTTTTGTTCTTTTTAACGCACATTTTTAATGTTTTTGGTTTTTTTTTTAGTTTTGTTTGAGAGCAATCAACCAACGGAACAACTTGCTTTCAGAAGTTGTGGGTGTTCCATCACTGGAGGCTTTCAAAAAGAGACTGGACAATCATTTGTCTGAAATGGTATAGGGTCTCCTGCTTGAACAGGGGTTGGACTAGAAGACCTCCAAGGTCCCTTCCAACTCTATTATTCTATGTTCTAAGCATGGGTGCAAGTATTGGTCATAATGTTGGATCCGGTCCTTGAAATTATCAAGTCTAACCACTTGCTTAGTACAGGAATCCAAAATTAAACTGTTCCCAAAATATAATTTTCCACATTCTAATTGAAAGAGAACTTCACCATTTCTCAAGATAATTGATTGCCTTGTCAAACGGCTCTTACTGTTAAGAAATGTCTTCTAGGTTTCATTCGGTGTCTGCCTTCCTGTAACTGAAATCCATTATTCTTATATCCATTATTCCGTATCCTGCACTCTAAAAATGATGGAGGACAGACCTTGACATGTTTCTGTGTTAACATCCAATTAAGTGTTTGAAAAAGCGCTGTCATTTCTCTCTCGTTTTTTCTCTTTTCCTTACCCTTTATTTATTTATTTTTTTTAGAAAATTTTCTCTTTTGCACAAAATACTCTGGGGGTAAACAATTGTGTATTTTCTTTAAAACACCTTTTTTTTAGAAGGAAAATGAATGAAAAAAAAAACCCCTCTCTGGAATAAATCCTGGTTTGAGTGATTAAATTTCAGCCTACTCAGCACTGAGAACATAACAATGGAAAACTCTTTGATGGCCCGGTAATTTATCTATTCTTTTGGTCTTTGCAGGGTTTCAGATTATGACATATTTTGGTATACCCACAACCTCTTCTTTGTCTTCTACTTGCTGCTGATACTGCACGTTTCTAGGTAAGTGTTTACTTGTTTTGAAGGAACATGGTCGTAACAACTGTGCCACATTAAGATCTTGTGTTGCCAGTGCAGGTTTGGCAAAACTACAGTTCAAAAAAAGGTCCATTCTATTGCAATTATCTAGAATTGGGACGACAAATATCATACTATTGTTTCTGTGTCTTCTCCATTTTTAAATGCTGGGAGTTTATGTTGTTGACTTATTTTTAAGGGGGCATTTAGGACATACAAGCATACAGGTGGTAGTCCTCAACTTACAATAGTTCGCTCAGTGACTATTCGAAGTTACAACAGCACTGGAAAAAGTGACTTATGACCGTTTTTCACACTTCCAAGTGTTACAGCACTCCCATGGTCGTGATCAAAATTCAGACGCTTGGGACTTCCGGTTTTGCGCAGTAGCGACCGGTTGCGGGCTTGCGGATTGTCTGCACCCCCATGGCTAATTTCGTCCTGCCAGGGGACTCTAAATAGGTCTAAGTCGCTCTGGAGAGGCGACGAAGAAAGAAGGGTGCTTCAGTGATTCTGGAACGGCGGCCGCCGCCATTCCGTTCAACTTGGGGAAAGCCTTCTAACCCAACAGGAGAAAGGCTGGCCATATTGCATCGACCAGCCCAAGCTACTTACAGCCGAAGTCCAAAAGCACTAACCAGCACAACTGTGAACAGTGTGCTTGAAACTGGGTGAGGAATTCGATCTTCTCTTTTCTATTTTACATTTAATTTCCTGGAAAAGATCCCCAAGAAACAAAATACCTCCGAAAGGGAGGGAGGGGGATTTCCGCCCCACCCTTATACTAACGGAAGCGGCAAATTAATCTTCTTATGGAGGATCAAAATATATGGAAGTGAAATAAATATAAAACCTGAAACTTAAAACTTAAATCTGGATAAATCTAAAATTGTTTGAATGGTTAAGACTCTCATTTTAAAGATAATTGTTCATTTTGGAAATTGAAAAACAAATAGTTGCTGATACCTAGTAGTGGACAGAGACTATGACAGCTATGACTTTAATATAAGACTTGGCAAAACCTGGGAAAAGCTAATCTGTGTATGTGACCTTCAAAGCTTTAACCACAAAGAACAGCTGTGACAAAAAAAAACAATAATTTGGGCTGTAAACAAAGAGAATTATAAGTTTCAGAAAAAAAATCTTTTTTGAACTATTTGGATTATAAATATTTGTCTAATTGAGACTCTAAAGCTATTTGCAGAGAAAAGAAAGGAAGAGGAAAACTCAAATTCTTGGCTATCATGGATCAGAGACATGTAGCAAGAACATATCAAGAAAACAAATACTTCACAGGAGGAGATATATAGTATACTGCAATTAATTCAAACAACAATGACTTTAAACCACAAAGAAACCCAAAACAACTTTGAAAATATAAATCCATCTATTTCCAAGTTAACTCTACAACAAAAAAATTCCCAGAAAACAACAACAGAGAAGGAGCAGATAAAACAGATAAATGGATATAGAATTGAGAATAGAGACTTAAAGATGGAACTTAACAAAACAAGGAAACATGATTTAATCCTAGTGGAAATTTTTTTACAAGAATTGGAAAAAACAACTTATCCCTTAAGACTACAAAATAAATCTGAGGACAAGAAAACAGATTGGATAAAATGGACTGTAGAGATGTCAGGAACATCGGAGAGAAAGGAAATGATAAGAGAAGCAGAGAGAAAGAAAAAGATTTTCAACAAACATGGAAAGGCAGAACTGCCATGCAAAGACACTTCTCCTGATTTACTTTTTATATATATAGCAACATTTACGAGCATACGGAAAAACTTTTTGATTCAGCAAAATACATTGATTAAGAAAGACACTGGGCAAAAGAAAAAGACTAAAGTGGAAACTAAGAAAATAGGTGATGGGACTTACCAGAGAGAATACTTATAAATAAACATTTGTTTGAATATGGTTAAAGAAATAGAAAAGTTTGGGAATATATATGTCACTCTAAGAGGGATGAATTCTCTAAATATAATATAGTATGCTTTTCCCCCTTTTTTGTTCTCTTTCTTGATATGAGTAATATAAAAAAGTTGAAATGATTTAGATAAAGAAAATGTTTTAGACATTTAAATGTGATTGAATTTAAGAAAATTATAATGGATAAAATGTTTTGAATAAGAGTTAAAGGACTAGATGACTAGATGTATTAAATGGAATGTTTAAAGATTAAACATATTTTTAATTATGGTTAAAAAGAATAAGAAATTTAGGAATAAATACATATTAGCTTAGGAGGGATATATATTTTAAGTAGTATGTTATTTTTTATGCTTTTTTACTCTTGCTTTTCTTTCTTTTTTTCTACTGTTTTATCTATTCCTTAAGAAATGTAAAAGTGTGAGATGGTTCATATGGAAAAATAGAGTCAAATTCTTAAATGTAATTAATTTTTGAGAAAATCTTAATCAGTAAGAATATCTAGAATTTGGTGGGAGAAACAAATTAAAATAAGGACTGTAACAGGATCTATGATAAGGCAACCAGAATGATTGGATAGAAAAGAAATATTATATTGATGTGATTATTATTTTTAGGACTATTGGGAAAATATATATTTAACTGTTATCTATCAAAACAATAAAAATTGTATTAACTCAATGTTTGCAAAAGAGGATATTTGGGGAAAAGACAAAATCAACTAAAACTATTATGTGGATTATGGATTATAGAAATCAATTGTTAATGATTGTTTTACAAATGTAAGCCAGACAACACACTGTTCACCAATTATTAAGTGATTTATGTTTTTTAAAAAAATCAAAATATATTATT